TCTCTCTCTCTCTCTCTCTCTCTCTCTCTCCTACACTAAACAACAAGTTTTTCACCGCTAATTTAAACTACAGATTAATATTGAGAGACACAACAAATGATCAATTATTGAGAGGCCGGGGAAGCAGATGGATAATGGATGCATGCATTGGGGGAACAGCACTAATAGGGATACCTTTATATACTGTATTAATAATAGTATTATATGGCAACCAAATGCCAAATGGTTTTTATTGCGATAAGACTCCAGGTTTTGTTTAAACAGTGATAAAGTTTTTGTTTCCCGCAGTTTTTAGTTGTTAATCATGTTTATCACCTGATATTCAGGTCATATATACTAATTTTTATGACATTTGTAACTCGAGAGTAGTATTCTATACGCACCGGTGCTTTGGACACTAGGGGTAGGGGTGGGTATGAGTGCGGGTATGAATGTCATGATCAATGTATGAATAATTATTTCCCTCCCATCATAATTAAAGGTACAATGAATTTAATTTAATTCACTTAATATATGTGACAAAATAAATGAAATAAATGCTATATTTACGCGGGATTTATATAACGTTCACTTTTATAATATGAGGGTAAATCATTTTTAATTGTATTTCTACAGTAGAAATTCTTATTTCGCGATTAGTCTTATGCGATTAGTTTTGATAAAATTGAACATGTTATTTTTCATTGTTGGTTTTAGTTTTTAGTATTTCAATTTTATATACACGGATGTTGTTCAATATTTGTTTAATATGGTGCAATATCAAATTGCCAATATGTGCGATATGCATGTATGTTATATAATAATTTATATTTGAATAAGGGAATTGTAGTGAAAATTCATCATATTGCAACAGTAGAGCAACAGAATGGCAACATTTACATGGATGATTTCAATATAGCGTGAAATTGATTGCCAAATTGAGTGCATATTATGGCAATAAGAATAAAATGTTCAATTTATTCTCGTCCGGTCACTCACTTGTGTCCATCACTCGGCACTTGTTGTCTATTTACCAGCCATTCATTGATGGCTAACATATCCCGCCATCTGATCGTGTATTCAAGAGTAAGATATGATATTTTGTTAAAAATACCAAAACTTTATACAATTATGTCATTTAAAATCATCTATATTACTATTTATTCATTTGTATCAAGTTTAGTATCATCAAACAGTGTTATTAATAATAATCAAGATACTTTTAAATTTGAGTACTTTCATCCAAGTATTTAATGACACTTTTGGGAATATTGGAATTTCAAAATTCAAATACTGTATTCAAAAATATGAAATTTCCCAAAAGATGTTGGGAATTAATGTATTTATAAATACAAATATTTCGGGTCTTTTTAAGTTTTGTTAAAAATTATTCGAAAATAATTTAAATTAAATCAATTGAATAGATTCAACACAATTTTTTGACATAATATGTTTATATTAAACTACATGTATAGTTAGACAAAACTATTTAACTCGACTGGTCATCGCTTGACCACATTAGATCTTATTTTCCCTGTTTTCAGAAATATAAAATATATTTCCCCCAAAAATATATGCCCGGAATATATGTCAACCTTTCTATAGTATCGCCGATTGTTGTCTCGCGACAAAACACAACACGAGATACACAACAAATACTTGTGCGAAGACGACGCCAATGACGACACCGACGACCGCATCGACTACGGGTCACGTGATTCAGCCAAACAATGTTCGCTTCGCCCCAACTTCTCGCGCGAAATAAACGCACATTTGAATGAAAAAAGGCCAATAAATCAATATTACATAAAATCACAGGTAATGGTACTATATATTAAGAATGGTCAATTGGTGGCACAAAATATGTTTATGCCATAACTCTTTGTCCGCATACCTCTCTGTATCATTGATCGACAAATAAAATCAATTTAAAAGATGGTCATTATTTCCTATTTATTCACTAAAAAATTAAATTAAAAATAAACTCCAATTTATTGTTAAAACTAATAAATTACTGACAAAATAATGAGCGAAACAACAAATAATAATAACTTGAGTTTAAATTAAATTAAAAACTAATCGCAAACATATTGAACATGTTGTTTTTTGAAGACAATTGTGTTTATTATAACTAAATATAATTTATCATTTAGTGGTCGTATTAACCATTTTCTGTATTTTAGCCATCAATTCATTCACACGTATATCCGCTATAGTCCTGAACACACTCTTTACCGATCGGTTCCAGAGAATCTTCGGCTCTAATGACTGCAAACAGAGAACATAATCATTAAAACAATAGATCCAGAGTTAGTGGCAATCGACTCAATGGTCGGGCAAAGAACGAGATAATCACATGAAGAGTGGTTGGCCTCCATTGGGAGACATCAACGCCGGTCTGTCTGACGACAAACTTCTCCGCCTTCTGGCCATAAGCGGACACAACGGCTAACTTGTCTTTGATCTGCTTATGGCTTAACTCTGACCACAATCTCTGCTCAACACTCAAATACGTCACTCCAAGAGCTGTTCCGTACCTATCGATCGACGGGTTCACAAAAAAAATACAAAACCCGTTAAAACTGAGGCCAACAATGGGTGGTCAGAGGGGCGGCCGTACGGCCAGTGCCCACACCTATACTCACTTGAGTGTCCTCTTAATTATGGCCATAACTGTTGTGTTTGACGGAAACCAGTGGTCAATCAAATGCACCGCAAAATTATAACTGCTTTTTCAAAATATAAACATTTATTTCGAGTACAAAATACGGCTATTTTTGTGGATTATTTCGTACGGAATAGCATTGGTTTTGTCTATAAATAATTACCAACAACTGTACTCCCAGTGTATACATTGAGTTATACAGTGTTTGTGACCTTCAATAGTGTCCTCACTTTTAAATGGGCTTTAAATACAGTATTTGTTTGTGATTTTTGCATTCAAATCATTGTTTAATATTTAATGCTTAATATTTGTCTGAAATTTGTATTGATTTTGTATACATTTTATTAATTAAATTAATTTTAATTCAAATTTGGCTCAAAATTGTTTTATTCATAGTTTTTGGCCAATAGTGGCACTCAATAAGTCTATCATTTCATCAATAATAACGTATTTAGGGTTTTATTTAAAACTTAATTCTAAATCCGTTGAATTCAAGCTTTAAAATAGATATTTGAAACAATTGGGGGCTAAATATATTTGACAATATAATGACACGTATTGTATGTATAGCCCAATAGACTGATCGCAGCGATTGGTCGGCAAAAAAAGTTTTTCACACAAAAATGGACTCAAAAGCTGTGCTATTCATAAATTACGACAATTATTACATCAATGAAAAATCAAACATTTTATTACTGATTGCTATAAATGGCAAACAATTGATTTTGTTTTAAATGTAAACTTTTAGTCAAACTAAGCGTCCAATGCGTGCCTTAAGCCAAAAATTAATCGCAAAATTAATACACAAATACTATAATAACAGTGAAGAGTGTGTGGAAAGGGGTTTATCATAGCAATGGAAACACACAAAAGGTGTGTCGCTATGGGAGACGCGAACGTCATTTATGGCACAAAAAATGGTGCGAAAGGCGTTGCGAGCGCTGCGAACGCACCGCACGTATTGGGCTAACGAGTCGGTCGGC